TTCAAATACTTGGAACCTATGGGGGGCATTCTCATTCAAGCCATCACAAGGCCCCTACTTGTCTTGTTCAGAGGCAGAGCACATGGCCTGTGGTTACTGGAGGACTGTACCCATATTTGATAAACACGAAGATGGCAGAAAGTGGCTTTTGGGAGTACTCTTTGAGTGAAAAGGCAAAGGCCTAATTCTTCCAGCTAGACCCATTGCTTGGTGTCTTCCTCACTTTTCCCCACCCCAGGGTATCCAGGTACCCCATCCAAGCTTCCTTTGCTCAAGACTGGCCTCCAGCACCCAGCTCTCAGCAGAGCCCCTCTGTATCACTGTGGGCAACATCTGTGGTCTCTCTGAGCTTATCTCCTCACCAAAATAAAAGTTTAAATAATAGCAGATCCAGTAACACTCTCAGGATTCTATTACTGGATTGGGATCAAGCAGTCTGTAAATTGTGTTCCATAGGAGATTAAAAAAGTATTTTTGTTTCCACATCCCCAGCTGAGCTGCTAACTTTTCTATAGCAGAACTCTTCCAACCCTCCCTCTGCTGTGTTCAGCCTGTTGATCTGAGGACAGAAGATCAGTTCATACTGGCTTATGCAAAACAAGGCATGTATTTGGCTCATATCTATGGTAAGCCCAGGAATGGGATGGGATGACTTCAGGCTTAGCTGGATCTGAGAGCCTCAACTATGCCATCAGGGCACATTTTCTGCCTCTGCTAAAGTTGGTTTTTTTCCCCACATGGTAACAAAGTGGCTCCCCACAGCCCTCAAATCACCTTTCCTCTGAGTTTCTCTGGTGGAACAAAATACCTTTTTTCATCAAGCTTCAAGAGTAGTGGCATTAAGTCTCCTTGGTTCAGATCGGCTCATGTACCCACCCTTAAACCCAGAGAATGCTGAGCTCTGATTGGCTAGGTCTAGAGAGTTTGGGGCCACAGCCAGCCATAGCCAACTGGACTGAGAAGGGAAGGGAGGCAGACCCCAAAAGATTTCATGATGAACTGGGAAAGGAAAAAGGAATGGGGGCTGATAGGCCAAACACAGACCACTGCTCTGCCACCAAGTGAACCAAACAGGAGATGATGCATGTTGCATATTCCTTGAAGCTTAGTCAGTTGTAGCTCTTTCCACAGACAGGAGCTTCCTGGTAGGTCTCTTAACCTCTTAGGTCACTTTCTCCTTGGGGTCCCAGTCTTAAATGTGCATATCAGAGGTATGCAGAAGGAAGAAACCACTGAGGCTGAGGCCAGAGGGTCCCGAACTTTCTCTTCCTCTTCCTTGGCCACAGGACAGGAACGGCCCTTCCCTGTCATAGTTTCACCCTCTGTAGCAGCTCTGAGCTTGGAGCTGGAGTGAGCTAGCCTGGGGTCTAGATCAGTGTTCTGGGTAGCCCTGTGTGCCCAGCCCAGATCACAGGCTCTAGGACTATGTGTGTTTAACAAACCCAGGCGACCTACAATCTCCTTATCCTGGTGCTCTGATTCTAAGTGAGAACCCTGGAGAAAGCTGCAAAGGCCAAGATTCCTGGGAAAGCCATCAAGGGCTTCTTCTGGACAGTCTACTGGCCTGTGCTGTGTAACTCCTGGGCACTGATTCCCAGTACTTAGGAGTTGGAGAGACACTGAGTTGGCCAAGGGAAGTAAGAAACAAATCAAACTGCAGACACATGCTCACCCAGATGATTTCTGGAGTAAAACTACCTCGAGGTAAGGAGAGAGCCAGGCAGGGTAGACCACCATCCAATGGGTGCCTTGCTCTTGAGTCAGGTGTGCAGTTTTGCCCAATTTCTGGCCGTCCTTTGCTCAAGCACAGCCTACAGCCCTTTCCCAATCCCCAGGGGCCTCCTAATTGGAGGCCCAAGAGGGCGCTTGACACCCCGCCCCCGGGAGTGGGAAGCACCCAGGCTTCTCTTTCTCTCCCAGCTTCTTGATACTCTGACCAAGTCAATGGGACTGTCTGATGCTGGAAACTGGCAGGGCTGAAACTCCTCCGAGGGCAAGGTTGGAAGGACAAGCACTCCTGTTGTCAGCTCCAAGCGCAGAGCTCACCAGGATGCCCACTGAAGCCCTGTTCTACCTGGCCTGGTGCTGAGCTGGCCTTCAGTATTGACTTTGGGATGGCCCTGGGTGTGGGACACAGCAGTTTCAGGCAAATCTCCCGCCAAAAGGGTTTCAGTCAGTTGCCACCAGCCCAGGGTATCAAGGTCACTCCTGGCACCCCATTCCAGCATCCCGGTGTCTGGATGCTCTCTAACACCCCATTCTCAGCAGAATATTCACAGATGTACAGACAGATCGCTCATTCATCTCCTACCCACAGCACCTGATTCTCCATGTTTCCTGAAATTTCTTGTAAGAAACATTGAGTGTCAGACTGTGTGTGGTGGTCCTCACCTGTAGTCCCAGCACTCAGGAGGCAGAGGCAGGCAGATCTCTGTGATTTTGAGGTTAGCCTGGTCTACATAGCAAGTTCCAGGCCAGCCCAGGATAGATAGTGAAACCATGTTTAAAAAAATAAAAATAAAATAACAATAGCAATAACAAAAAGAAACAAAGAAAACCAACCATTAAATATCAGTCTTTTCTGTCAAATACCGTAAAACTTTGGTTTGGATAAGAAATTCAGGGGCTGGAGACATGGCTCAGTAGTTAAGAGCACTGGCTGCTCTTCCAGAGGACCTGGGTTCAAATCCCAGCACCCACATGGTGGCTAACAGTCATTTGTAATGCCAGTCTAGGGCTCCACAGGCTTTGCATGACATGGGTGCACTTACATGAAGGCAAAACACTCATACACATAGAATAAAATAAATAAATAAATAAATAAATAAATAAATAAATTAGCCAACTGGGAAAGACATTGGACTTTGGAGAAAAGGCACAGTACTCTTGGGTTAGGGATTAAAAACCTACCACATTTCCTGCTCAGGTGTGCTTGTTCATTCTGAATGGCAATGTACCCTTTTGCAAAAGTAAAAGTTGCCTTGCTGATCTGCTTTCACTTTGTCCATGTGTTTTTTTTGTGTGGTATCAGTGGGGTCCCTAGACCTCAGATTTTATTTCTTACATTTTGCATTATTTCCCAGTTAGGTTCTGTGAGACAATAGGGCCACTGAAAGTTAATTATCATAGGCCCCCAAAAGTCTTTGGTCAAGTGAGTTGGGGAAATGCCAGTGCAAAGACTTGGATGGTTTATTCACTGAGGTTTTCCAGCCCCTTTGATAGTCCAGTGCATGCTGTTAGCACGGAGGTGCTGGCTTTCCTATACTCCGTTAAAGTTGGAACTCCGACTCAAGGAGTGGTTCCCTGACCTGGCATTCTGAGGCGTAGCACACTGGGACGGCTGAGCTCCTCCAGAAACAGTCTGCTTTTTCCTCGTTCAGTGTGTGGGATTTGCATACTGTGCCTAACTGATTTGTTACTGCCAGGTGTAGGAGGATGTGCATGCACAGAGTTTGGCCTCAGAAGCTTCCTGGCTCTTCTTGTTGGTTCCCCAAGTTCTGGGCTGTGGTTGTTATGGTAATTAGGACCCTGCACACTGGGAGGGGTGATGCATACCTTGTTGAACTTTGGGTGATTGCTTTCTTCTGCATCCACCTGGGATTCAAACCCGGGTCTTCTGCAAGAGCAACCAGTGCTCTTAACTGCTGAGCCATCTCTCCAGTCCCAGGTCTCTGGTTTTAAGGGAGTTAAGTCTATGTTGATTTGAAGGTGGAGGGAGGGGAGGGTATAAAAATTCATTTTGAATTTTCCCACACCACAATTATGTGCCAAGGTGGCCGTGTGTAACAGCATCAGGAAATACTCTCCCAGGAGCCAAGAGGAGTCCTTCAAAAACTAGTAGGGAAAGGTGTTTCCCCCACATCAATCCAGCTTGGGAGACATTTTGTTAGTTACACATGTTCCTCCCCCACAAAACAATGACGTTTTCTGTGTGCTTAAAAAAAGTAAAACAAAATTTTGCATTTTTATAAAACTTGATAAAAAATAGTATTTCAAACTGCACAGTCACCAGCAGTGCACAGTTCCCAAAAACGCACAGCTTCACTTGGCCTCTCCAGCACCCTCGGCTCCTGTGCCTGCTCTGTTTTGGCATCTCCAGCACCCTCGGCTCCTGTGCCTGCTCTGTTTTGGCATCTCCAGCACCCTCGGCTCCTGTGCCTGCTCTGTTTTGGCATCTCCAGCACCCTCGGCTCCTGTGCCTGCTCTGTTTTGGCATCTCCAGCACCCTCGGCTCCTGTGCCTGCTCTGTTTTGGCATCTCCAGCACCCTCGGCTTCTGTGCCTGCTCTGTTTTGGCATCTCCGTTTTCTGCAGGATTTTTCCCGTCCTTGCCAGCATCAGCTTTTCCCTTTTCCCCTTTGGGCACCTTCTCTCCCTTCTTTGCAGGGGCCTTCCTGGGCTTGGGCTCTGGCTTTAGAGGAGCAGGTTTAGCAGATAATCTTGCAGCTCTTTGTGGTTCGTCCTTCACCTTGGCTTTATCTCCTCTGGCATCCCCTTCAGCCTTTCTCGGGCATGGCGGTGGTGGTGGTGGGGCACAGGCGCTGGACATGGCGCTGCAGCGGGGTGCGGCTTTGGTCGGTCCGGGGGTCATTCTCGCTGCTTCTTCACATTGATATATATATACAATGAGAAAAACATGCTGTTTTCACCACTATGATATATAGATATATACACACACATATATATATATATACATATATAGTTATGTTGGTGATGATGCTGGTAGTTGCATTAGTTACTTTTCTGTTGCTGTGATAAAACACCATGACCAAGGCAACCTATAGAAGGAAATATTTATTTGGCTTAAGGTTCTAGAGGAATAAGAGCCCATCATGGAGGGGAAGCATGGTGGCAGGAGGCAGCTGGAGCAGAAAGCTGATCATGCATGTCTTCAAGCATGTGCAGGCTAAGAACCCTCCAAGTTCACCCCCAGTGTCTTGCTTCCTCCAGCAAGGCTGGGCCTCTTAGACCTCCACAAACAGTGCCACCAACTGGAGCCAATTATTCAAAGACTTGAAGCCTATGGGAGACATTTTTCATTGAAACCACTATGGTAGTGATGATGATTGGAGTGATGGTATTGGTGATGACAGTGATGATGATGGTGGTGGTAATGATGATGGTGCTTCTTCTGGAACTGATAGTGGTGATAATGACAGTAGTAATAATGATGGTGTTGTTTCTGGTGGTGATGATGATGGTAGTAGTAATGATGGTAACTGATGTGGTAGTGATGCAGGTGATGACAATAGTAGTAATAATGATGGTGCTGCTGATACCAATGCTGGTGTTGGTTATTAACAACTACAAGGCACAGTTAGTGCCTATAGAGGAAGGTCTACAGGAATGTGAGCACTGTACTCCATCAAGGCATTCCCTGGGTTCTTCATGCATGTGTTCCTCATCTGGAGTTGCAGAATTGTCAGGGGTGATGTTGGCATCATTATGGGTGTGAGATGAGTCCTGGTCCTACCACTGGGTGACTGAGTGATCTTACATAGTTACAGAACTCTGTGAGCCTTAATTTCCTCATCTTCAGCGCAGGTGGAGGGAGTTGTTCATAGGCATTTGGTGAATCTACAGGAAATGGCCATGCATAGGAGGCATGGAGCTTTATGCCAGCTGGTATCTCTTGTTCAACAGTGTACTCCCCTGGGTCCTTGTGAAGCCTCAAGATGAGGCTTTTCACACTGTGGAGCCCTGTGAACACTCCTGAGTGTAGTCCGTGGTGGCAGAGGCCTAAAGCCAGGTTCTGTGGGGATGATTTTTATTTTTTAAAAAATATTTTATTAATTTCATTTTATATGTGAGTGTATTGCCCTCATGTATATAAGTGCACCCGTGTTATCTTTATACTCCCTCCCCCACCTGCACCTCTCTATGGTTCCCCCATCAGATTTCAAGCATTTTGTCATATATGTTAAGGTCTATCAAGTCAAGTTAGTGTACCCAGATATCCCTCAGTGTACATTCATCCACTGGGCTCTAGTCAACCTATCTAGAGTCTCCCTCTTAAAAAAGATTGTTCTAATTTATTTCTCCATTGCTGTGACAAAATACTCTGACCAATACCAACTTGTGGAGGAAAGGATTTATTTGACTTACATTTCCTGGGTCACAGTTCATCACTGAGGGAGCCCAAGGTAGGAACCTAGGGCAGGAACCTGGAGGCAGGAGCTGGAGCACAGGCAGGCCATGGAGGAATGCTGCTTACCGGCTTGCTCTCCTGGCCCCCGCTCAGCTTGCTTTCTTATACAATACAGAACAACCTGTCCAGGGGTTGCACTACCCACAGTGGGATGGGCCCTCCCACACCTCTCAAAAATCAAGAAAATACCTCACAGACATGGCCACTGGCCAGTCCAATGGATATAACTCCCCAGTTGAGGCTCCCTGTCAAGTTGACAACTAAAGCTATCCAGCAGAAATATCAACTCTCCCTCACCCAGTAGTAATCAACTGCCAAGAGCTCTTCAGCAAAGGTTGGGGCCTGCTGTCCATTTCCCCAGTTCTACGCCGGGTTTTTGTCTGATTGAGTTTGCATGGGTCTTGTGCATGCAAACACCATTGCTGTAAGTTCATATGAACAAAGTCTCAGAAGGCTGTAAGACTCTGTTTCCTTATGGTCATGCACCTCCTCCCTTGGCTCTTACAATCTTTCAGCCCCCCTCCTTAATGGTCCCTGAGCCCTGGGTGGGTGACATTTAATATAGGAGCCCTGTCCAGGGACCCACACTCTGCAGACTCTTATTCTTTACACTTTGGCCATTTGTGGCCTTTTGTGTTCATCACCCTCTGTTGCATGAAGAATATACCCAAAGGAATCATCCTACTGCAGAGATACTTGTATGTCCATGTTTGTTGCTGCTCTGTTTACAATAGCTAGGAAATGGAGGCAATCTAAGTGTCTCTCAATTGATGAATGGATAATTGAAAATGTGGTACATTTACCCAATGGAGTTCTACTCGGCAATAAAGATGAAATCATGAAGTTTTCAGGTAAATGGATGGAACTATAAACTGTTATATTAAGTGAAGTAACAGACTCAAAAAACGAGGTACATTCTCCTTCATTTGTGGATCTTAGCACCAAATCCATATATGTGAGTACATATCCTGATGTAACTGCAGGAGCCAGGAAAATGGAAAGAAACCATGGAGGTAAAGGGAAAGAAGGAGCCTGAGGGAGGAATAGTGGGAGACAGGTGTTACCAAGGGGGAAATGGGTAAAATGGGGGGTATTTAACTAGGAGGGAAAGGAGGGTTATACAAGGAAACATGGAGGTAAAGGGGAAGAAGGAGCTCAAGAAAGGGGGGATCATAGGAGACAGGTTTTATCTAGAGTGAAATGGGGGAAAATTGGGGTACTTTAACTTGGTTTTAATATTTTTTATTTTTTACTTTTAAATGTTATTCAGAAATATTTTCCCTGGTATCTCAAATCATAGGACACTTAATTCAGAATATTGGGAAGGAATTGATGAACAATTAAGCTATGACTTAGAAAAGTTCAATGGAAGCATTTAACTCCTTGGAGCCAAATTAGATAGCAGCCATATCTAGTGAAAAACAGTGTACTTTCAAAGGAATTACATCTTATGGACCTCCCCCAACTAATTCTCCTGCCTTCCTTGGAGCTCCCTTCCCTGGGGTGAAAGGCAATGGAAGAGACTAACTAGAAGTATTGAGCCTGGTTTGGAATTTGCTGAGTTGAAAATGCCAGCCTTTTTTGCCCTGCATCTCCAAGCCCCCCTCCCCCTCTGCTGGATAGCTTCAGTTGTCAACTTGACACACTTGGGTTCAGGGAGCCGCCATTGGGGAATTACCTCCATTGGACTGGCATGTGACCAAGTCTGTGGGGCATCTTCTTGACCGTTATGTGAGAGGACCAAGCCCACTGTGGGTGGTGCCACCCCTGGGAAGGTGGTCTTGTATTGTATAAGAAAGCAGGCTGATCATGGGTCAGAGGGGCAAGACAGTAAGCAGCATTCTTCCATGGCCTGTGCTCCAGCTCCTGCCTCCAGGTTTCTGCCCTGAGGTCCTACCTTGTTTTCCCTTAGTGATGAACTGTGACCTGGGAGATGGAAGCCAAACAAACCCTTTCCTCCCCAAGTTGGTGTTGGTCACAGTGGTTTGTCACAACAATATGAAAGCAAACTATAACATAAATTGGTACCAGACAGTGGGCTACTGCTGTGAAAGACCTGACCCAGTTGTTTTTGGGAGGACTGTGGAAGTGTTTGGAACTTTGGGCTGGAAAAGCTGGTGAGTGCTTAGGGTTTAGTGAGCTGATGCTGTGGAACTTGGAACAGTTCCACTAAAAGAGGTGTAGACAATGGAGGCCTGGCTTGTGAAGCTTCAAGCGAAGCTGAGACTATCAGGGCTGTTTGTATGATATTTTGAATTGGGTTTTGCTCTGCTGGGGCTGAAAAATCAGCTGTAACAGGAGACCAGCATCATCGAGGTGAAATCTGGGAAGTATTTCCTCAGGGTCAGCACACAGAAGCTGTGGTCCTGGAGGGACCCAAGCCTCCATGTTAAGTGGGAAGCAAGACTTAGTAATGTCTGTCTCTTTCATGGTTCTGGTTTTGAAAGCATAAAGGGGTCATAGAGAGCAACTGAGGCTTTGCACTCTGAGAGGCCAGAAGAGCCCATTGGGTAGGTGCAGCCTAGTTTCAGTGGAGACACCAGCTTTTTGAAAATGCCAGGATCAAGGGGCAGCCACAAAGGGCATCAGTAGGTATGGAATGGAGCCAGCCTGGGCCTGTGAGATGAGCTGTGTGTGTTATGGATGGTAGAGCCAGAGAAGTGGAGCTGCTGAAACCCTTTGGAGACCAGAAGACTGTGTGTGAATCCCAGATGTCCAGCCTTGAGCTACTTTGCTGAACTTAGGTTTTGCTTAGGTGTGCCTTCTTCCCTTTTGAAATAAGATAATGCTTAACTTGTTTTGGATTTTTACAGGAGCCCACAGTTAAAAGACTTTTAAAAAAGAAACTTTTAACATGTTGAGATTTTTTTTTAAGGACCGTGGGACTTTTAAAGTTGTACTATATTATGTTGTGATATTAACATCATACCTTGGGGATAAGAAATGGAAATCTTGTGGTGTAACAGTGATAAGTTTGTATGTCAAGTTGACAAGGGGTCTATTGTGCTGAATAGTTTTAGTTGTCAATTTGATACACCTGGGTTGAGGGAACCTCCATTAGGGAATTGCCTCCATTGGACTGGCCATGTCTATGGGGGATCTTCTTGATTTTTGAGTGATGTGGAAGGGCCCAGCCCACTGTTGGTGGTGCTGTCCCTGAGCAGGTTGTTCTGTACTGTATAAGAAAGCAGGTTGAAGCTGGGCATGGTAGTGCACGCCTTTAATCCCAGCACTTGGGAGGCAGAGGCAGGCGGAACTGCATCTCTGTGAGTTCAAGGACAGCCTGGTCTACATAGTGAGTTCCAGGACAGCTGGGGCTACAAGGAGACCCTGTCTCAAAAAACACCAAAAAAAAAAAAAAAAAAAAAAAAAGTTGGTTGACTTCTGTAGTACTTGTAAGGCCAGTATTTACTCCGTAAGATTTATGAATGGTGGGTCTGCACTGACAGTATCAATTTAACTAGGCAAAAATTAAGTCAAATAAAAATTCATTAAGATCACAGTGTATTAGCAGCTACATTGGTGAGGGTGGCTATTCCAAATAGGCTCTACCTTCTTTAGGGTCACTAATGAAGAAGAATGAGATACAGGGAAATTCAGGTCTTGTCAGTGAGATTAAGCAGCTACATGTGGCAAGACCTCCCTCCTCTTGGTCCCACATGAGGGAAGAAATATAAAGCTGTAGGCATCAAAACAAGGGAAATTTAGGCAGATGTAACTAGACACCCCCAGCCTGTATCCATTTAACCAAAATCTCTGATTTTCTGCATTCAAACCTGGACTGAAGTTTAACCAGAATAAAAATGACCTCTAATGGAAAGTATCATTCTAGGAGAGAGGATACTTTAATTTTCCTCCATTCACAAACACAAGCTAACTAATTGTGAATATAGCCCTTCAAACATCTTGCCGCCTCAAATATAGCCAGGGAGAAACTCAAGTCAGATGATAGTAAGGCAGATAATCTTTGTTGACTTGATTCTCCTTGATTATGAGTGAGATAATCATACTCATACTCATTAACTCATAAAAATTTAGAGATATCAAAGAGCGACCCTTCACAATCTGGTGTTCTGATTTTTGTCACTTCCTGTTTCCAATACATGACCTAGTAATTTAAAACAATTTTAAAAGAA